TCCGTTGGCCCGCCTATACAACTGATGATAGGTCTAACTTTATATGATGATGGGTTCGTTGATGTAATATCATCAGTTGAAGTAAGCTTACCACATAGCAAAACAACAATGTCAACATTTACCTCTATTGAACCTCGACGTGGAAAGTCGTTGGTTTATTGTGGCTCCGATGGAAGCAAAATCGAATCAACGTTAGCTATATCAGAGATTTGAAACAACCTCGTTTGAGCCTATCAGTAAACCAAAAACATTGAAATTTGAATGTTTTGGGACTGTGGTCTCAAAAAGGATATCATAGCGTTCTAATGACTAAATGTTCAGATGACCCATCCCGCCCCAATCCATAGACATTAAAGCTTCTTCCATTTGCCTTGTTTTATTACCACTTTGTTTTACATTCGTAGGTCACATTCGTAGGTTCAAGTCTTCCATCTTCTATCTACACTGATTTGCTAAATGCTTATCATGATTATAGCTGGGATTCCGACTTAGTTTTAGTAAAGCTTTACCAAATTTGGTCATCGACCTCTGTGGATCGGAGGGAGTTTTGCTGCATTCTGAGTGCCGGTAACAGTTATTCCCGTGATAGCAGTTCCCGTGCTTACTGCGATTCTGTGACTGACCGAGCAATGAAGGAGTTAGAAGCCTTTTATTGTAGACTCAGCTGTGTATTTTTATAGAGGCTTTCATTTTAACTGGTACTTACGTTCATCGATAATGCTTTTGCAACTTTTGCAGTCTCATTTGTTTCAAAACTATTCTACCTGTATTGAACGCTTTGAATTCTTCGTCGTCACAACCATATTTTGTAATCTGGACGACGATATTAGCCGGACTCGGTATCGACCTATATCGTCTCTAGTGCAGGTAATCGTCGTGAATAGTGAAGAGGTTCGATAAAAAGATACTAACTTTGGAAGTAGTATTGTTGCTACTGCAGCAACTTTCGTGCTAACGTGGGGTCAAAGGTGGCGCTACTCTTCCGCATCTTGCATTAATCAATATTTTGACTTCATACTGCAATTTCTTGTCTCATAGATGTCGTCATAAATCTTATTATCCATTCTTAATCTTTTGATGCCAAATATTGTCCAGATGATGGCTCATCTGACTATGAGCAAGTGCCATTATTGTCAGCGATTGTTGCACAAAGCCATTGTAGACATCATTCTGAGCTTGAGGTCATGTGGACAGTAAAGTTAAGATGAATTCGAGAAACTTTATCATTTCTGATTCATTTATCATTATTTTCCATAACTTCTTTTGTTTTCAGGAATTTTCCACATGAAGTTCGGGAGGAGCTACTGTCGTTGATTTCGACCGTGTTCCCTGAAAATCCGCGTACACCGCAGCAGATTCTGGACATAATCACCGAATGTGCTAAAAAAACGGATTTGGTTAGTACTACAGTTTCATTAAAGGAATTATATGACCATCTGCTGATTTATATACTAATACTTTTCGGAATGAATAAGGGCTGCGATGAGTGCTCCTTGTTAAGAATTTGTGACAATAATCTCCTTCAGAATTCGTTTTCAGTTGACAGTATTTCGTTACGGTGAGGATCGTACTGAAGATGTCGACCACGCCATTCTAACGGCAGTGCTTAAGCGGCAGAATTTAAGTTTACCAGAACAGGTACTGCCCAAGGACTTTTGTCTTTGGTCAAAAAACAGTATACAGAAGAGTTGCTTCTTACGTTTGACTCAACCTTTTATCAAACACTGCTATTTGTAACTTATAGTTAGGCACACATTGTTTGCTTCTCATTAGTTGTTTTCTGTAGTTTATAATTTGTACAACGACAATAATAATGGTTTTAAATATGGCCCGACTTTACATGCTGAACAGTTTCCTTCATCTCTCTTATTCGATTTGTTGTCTGTCATCCGTCATCCATGAATTTTAAACAAGTGTTCGGCAGTAATTTTAGCTGTTTCTTCCTCATGAATATCATTGAATGCTCACTGAATAGATCCTTCATGGAATTCTAGGATAGTCACGCTAGAGCTTTATACTTTTGAAGTACAAACGGTTGATGTATCAGAAAGAGCTTTTCCCAGATAAATCTAGGACCGACTCGCTAGGCGAGGTGAACGGTTTCGTTCGCCCATGGCCGGACCACGCCAGGGCTCTGCGTCTATTGGAGGAGGTCTATAGGTCTATGACCGCTACTCTTCTTGTTGACTATAATAATGCTTAAATGGCATGTTCACGTACAAAATCGCGTCGTTACTGGTTTAATATGACTTTTACTTAGACTACCTAAAAACGTGTTAGTGATTCCTAGGTCGTTGCTACAAGTCGTGGAACTTGAGATTCGAGAGAAAGCTTGTCGTTGTCTAGTAACAATGACTTTTCTAAGACGGCTACATTACCTGTGGCAAGACTATAATTTTTAGCATAGATCGGTCGATTTGCCTAGGACAACGTAAAAGGTTAGATCCTATTAGTAGAAATATTAAAACAAATAAGAGAATGAAGTGTTCTGTGTTCATCAACCTCATAAGGATGCAAAATGCATTCGACTTCTTTGTAAAGGTGTTAGATTGCATATTTGGTCTGTACAGTGGATTTGTGGAGGCCTACCGATCTATCAAATCAGGGCTTTTTGTTCTTACAGACAAACGACTATTTGTCGGCTTTGGCGGATTCACCAGGTTGTAGGATCAACCCAGCAACCTACCTTGTATTGTAGAGCAGTGGTAACCATTGCGCTACACTTTCCCCGATAGGAATTTTACAAGGATAAAGGATAAAGATCGACACTGATCAACCCTTCAAAGATGTGCCATGCATTTGTCTTTATCAAGCATCGTTAGAGGTGATTAAATCTACAACTGACCTATACAATGACTTATGGAGCATAGGAGGTTCAGTGAACTCAAGGTGCGAGATCAAATCACCCACCACATGTGCATAGAAGTGCACCTTTAATCACTGTGCTACACGCCCTCCAATGAAGATATCAGCCTTTATCATTTCATGCATACTAAACTTGAGATGTGTTGCTGATTATTCCCTATATTCTAATTCTCTTCTGATGGATTTTATCTACGATCGTAGGATTCTTTGTCCTGGATTTCTTAAAAAAGAATTTTTTGTGGCTTTTGCTTTTCGACCAGCTATTTTATTTCTAGTTGTCGTTAACTTTGTTGTGGAATCGAGTGGACGTGGCCAGGTCATGCCTTTTTTCCGGCGGACGTCACTGGCCCACTTGCGAGTTGCACTCAGCCATGAAAGATGCGCTTCGTCTAAATCGGGTTAGCAAACCCTTTTGCTTAGCGCAAACTCTAGCCAAAATAATTTCATTCGAATAATTTAATTGACGAGGCCACATAGCCTATAATACTAGCGGCTTTCGGCTAAAAATCGTTACAGTTTAGACTCGTTTGTAAGTTACTTGATTTTAAGTGCTGATCATTGGTGTACCAAATTTCATGACTTGTGAGAGAACGAATTTCCGACAGCGCTTTGTTCATACGAAGAAAAGTTGGAATTAAAGAGTGGGAATTCCTTAAAATCCTTCCTGCACTATTTTCTTTAATTTATAATCTATTGGGCGAGTCCTTCGGCACTTTGTCAGGAGTGTGGTAGTGCTTGAACCAGAATTTAAGGGAAAGAATCTGTAGTTACAATTACACTTTTAACTTATTATCTGCTGCTTGCCCTTTCTAATGACAGGGAATGTTATGAAATATAACTTCAATGATGCTGAGATATTTGCAAAGTACCGGAACGCAGGTCTCTGCGGTGGAAGAACGAACGCACTACTACCCTTTCTGGCGGATAGCGCTTTCACCAAAACACTGAGGATCCTTCGTTCGTTCTCCACCGCAGACAACTGCGGTCCGGAGTTCTGGAATTATCGCAGCATTATTAAAATTAAGGGAAGGAGTTTTAAAAAAGATGGTAACTGATACGGGATGTAGTTTTCCAGTTGGAAGCTATTTTACGCTCAACACTCTTTTTATTATGAAACATTTAGGTGGATTTTGTTGAGTGTTTGTTGGAAAACGGTGTGTCGATGAAGAAGTTTCTCACAATCGCCACACTTGAGCAGTTGTACAATCTGGTGAGTCTCTTACCAGGTGATCCTGCTTTAGCTAGTTTTTGATTTATCGGGTTCATCCACAACTTTTGTTGAAGTCAGCTTTCAACTCCTTTACAAATTCGTTGCTAAACATCAGTTTAGCTTTTTTCTATATGCTTAATTTTATAAGCCTGGATTGCTCTGTGGAAGGCTGAACGTGTTCTTTTTACGTCTCTTTTCACCTCATTCTATAAAATGGACCGTGATCCAGAAAAATACATTGACTGGTTTTTTTTCCAGCTACTTTAATAGCAGTGACTGTCATACGACTGTACAATAGTACTGATTAGCTTATTAATCAAAAACATTCATTGCTTCCACAGTTCTGTTATTTTGGATAGAAGGACTGAACTTACAAGTGAGATAATCAATAATAAAAGGATTAGCATAAAGCTCTGGGCGTTGATCAATTCCTGAGGGATGAGCCATGCATTCGACTTCATTAAGCATCGTAGGAGGTGATTGATGCATATATGGCCTTTAAAATGACTCGCGGTGGCCTATCGATGTAAGGAGCCAGTGCTGCTATCCTCGCAGACAAGTCTGGCACCAATTTCCCGACCCCGGAGGGATGGAAGGTTCGCTGGGCCATCGACGCGGGGATCGATTCCACGTGTTTGTTGCAGGGTACCCCCGACCATTGCGCCATACACATCCCTAGCTATCACCACCTCAATAAATTATATATTCCATAGATTATATAGCGGTTTCTAGGGATTGGATACCATTTTATAACAGGTCCTGTCGTTTCCCATCGCTGTTTTCCTCTAAACTTTATGAATTTGTTCGAGTTTTCAGGATGATGATGCCCAGCATAATGTTCACTTCCTTGTTGAGCACAGCTCTCCTACCAGCTATATGACTCTGCCTGATATCGGTTTGATCATCGAGAAGTTGATGGGAAACGCCTACAAGCACTACTATACATCGAGACTATTCAAGAATAACTACGAGAAATTCCGTAAAAAAGCGCAGGTGTCTTTACTCGTTCAATACTTTACAAAAGTCTGAGAACAGTAAGCTCAGAAGTAATAGAAACTATAGACGTTATTTTAGCATTTGAAGTTCTTTCTTTTCAATGACTGCAATCGGGGATTGGATCTCTTTACATCCACATCAATAGTCGTCTTAGCTAGTCACAGGAATCGTTTCCGTTTTAGAAAAATCCTAGTGGGAAGTTAGTAAACGTTCACGCAATTCACATGGGATGGCAGACTGCCTGTGATTACGGTCAACGGACGCCATATAGTGGGTATCTCGAGATTTTAGGAAAACTTAAGCTCATACAGCGTTTAGCGTGTTAATGACGATAGAAGACAGATCGCCATGCAGCGTTCGAACTCACACAAATTCGACTATCTCAATTGTAGCTGTTGAGAGACAACGAAAAGCGGAACGAGTGCCGAGGAAATATGCCCCGTGTGGGCGAGCCTTCATGTAATCAATACTGAAAATTCAGTAACCTACGCAACAGATTCAGTAGTTGAGAGAAAGTAATTGCTTAGAGTTGTTGACGCTAATGAACCAGAAATAGTATCTGTAAGTGCTCTGCCGGGTTGTTTATACTGGTCATCTTGGGATTTTCGCATCATCGTGTGTCCGGTCGCGCAGGTCATCAAGTCAGATCGTCCCTGAAATTTTCACGGAGCCATGGAAAGTGTCATACTTTGCGCGCAAAGTTGTTTATTTCTACTGTTTTTGGCAAGGTCGTAATCATGGTTAGTAAACCGCGTTCTGTAGTAGAATAGATTTCCCCTTATCTGAGGTTCTAGATGGAAGTAACAAAACTTTAACCTTTGACTATGGTTTGGTAGCACAAAAGTCCTCATATACGTTGCATTTTAACTCTTTCATGGCCATACGCACTGGTTTTATATGCGCTGCTCTACGTTTTGGACCGTACATCTTGATTACAATGCGCATTTGAATTGCGCTTTAATGACACATAGTCTAACGAGCCCAGCAGACGAAACTGGCTGCCGTCATGGAAATATTAGCAGTCACTCAGTTTTTTGCCATTTTGATCTTGTCATTTTGAACCGCTAAATCAAGAAGGGGGTTTAACGCTCTCGTTTTAATTATAGAGTTGTTTCATTAAGACATTCAAATTGAAGTCGATTTTTTAATGTCAAAAAATTTTAGATCCGTTTATGTTGGTAGATTTAGCTTTCTCGTCTGAGCAGCTTCCATATTCGCCTGGTCGCCAAGACATCACCTAGACGACGAAAGAGCGCAGATTGGGCTAATACGTTACAGTGTGATGAAGGTAGGTCTACTGTGTTAGTTGCGTTGCGAAAGAGGTTGGTTAGAGCTTTCCACAAGGTCGGAGTTCCTAGTCATATTTTCCATAAAGAGAATATTTTAACTATTTTGAAAACCAAAATCTCATAGTAATGTTAACTTTTTATTTACCGCCAACTACAATTTTTCATGGCGAGGTTTTGTGTGAATTACAGTCACAATGATGGTGAGATTTTGCAAAACTCGGGACGCCTGCGGTCCAGTGTTTTGCAAATATCTCAGGCTGTCATAATAATGTTTGGGATTCGAGATAAATCCATCCCCGCTTCTCGCGACATGCTTTCCAAGTTCTGTGAATCACACAAAACAAGTCACAGTTCGGATCTAGCCTTTCATAACCTCCATTTTTTAAGTCTGTCTTGTTGTGAAGCATAGACGTGAGGATCTTAACAGGTTCAAGTAGAATTATTGTAGGAAATGCCTTTCCCTTGTGTTTTATGGAGCACTATCTATTCAGCCCATGCTATATTTCAAAATATTCGCCTCAAAGTTTAACGTTTTGTTTTCTGCCTTCTATAATTTTCATGGCAGGTTACTAAGCGAAATACAACCACAACGTTGCTGAGATATTTGCAAAACTCTGGACCGCAGGTGTCTATGGTGGGGAACGAACGCGCTATTATCCTTTCCGGGGAGTAACGCGTTCACCACCACACCATGTGGGTCCTTTGTTTCGCACGTCTCTCAGCTATTTCTATCGATCTTTTTGCCACAGCAATCACCCGTCAGCGGGGTTGATCTGGGGAGCGCAAATCGGCATAGAACCCAGTTAAGCTATGGCTGTAGTTGAAATCACAATGTTTAACGTTTTTGTTTTCTGCCTTCTATAATTTTCATGGCAGGTTACTAAGCGAAATACAACCACAACGTTGCTGAGATATTAGAAATAGAAATAGAAATAGCTGAGAGACGTGCGAAACAAAGGACCCGCATGGTGTGGTGGTGAACGCGTTACTCCCCGGAAAGGATAATAGCGCGTTCGTTCCCCACCATAGACACCTGCGGTCCAGAGTTTTGCAAATATCTCAGCAACGTTGTGGTTGTATTCTCCTCAAAGTTCAAAATTCTTTTAGACGCTCCCCCGGACTTTGCCTATCCGTTCAACGATCTCATTCTATGGGCTGTACTAACACGAAGACCCGAAATGGCTAGGTGCATGTGGCTTCACGGCGAAGATGCTATGGCGAAAAGTCTTGTAGCCGCCAGGTTAACTATCACTTTGTTTGCTTGCGATCTCACATATCAAATGTGCATTGTCATGAAACAAACGGAAAATCGACTACCGTAACGATAAAATCAATGTGCATACTATACCTAGTGTCAAAGTGCGTGCACATCATTGCGTGTAAGGCTGCCAGGGAAGACAACGGGCGATTGCGCAGTAATTTTCATAATCTTCAAGATTTGTACCAACTTGTATACCCTGCAGTTACGAAGCGCCGTTCGTGGTAGGCAAGATTTCTTTCTGGCGAGTACTTTTCGATTCCCGGAAAAGAAAACCCTGGCTTAGAAATTTTGCCATTTTCGTTAAATCGTGGTTTTAAGAAAGAAAACCTCTCTGCAATTCATTAGGACTAACAACTGTTTGTGATGAAAGGGCGAAAATATCCTAACACAGCCGTCTCGAAGTTCCAGTAAAAATCGTAGTCGAACATCATTCAACATAGGAACGAGGAGAGAAGACGATAGATCGCCACATCGCTGTTGAATCCATGCATGAATCTCATTCTCAATTTTACGGGTGACAATTGCGTGAAAATGCCAAAAAGGTGAGGGAAAGTGCTGGCACCCGCATGATCTGTGAAGACAGGCCTCCAAATATGCATGTAACTAAGGTATTTTAGTGTCTGTGCGAGACATTTTTTCAACAGTCTCCAGGGTTTCAAGGACGTTTTTTATCAGTATATTTACTAGGCAACTTTTTACGCCCCTATTCTTTGCCACAATTTTTACATCTAAGAGAAGTTCACTACCTAACGGGAGTGTTTCTTCTATGCCGTCGGCAGTGTTCAGCTTACTTTGGCCCTCCACTGAGTTTTCGAAAGAAGTTCTCAAACTTTGAATTTCAATGAGTATTGTGCGGGTGAACCACTTCGGACCTATAGATCGAAATGTGTCATTTAGAACCCTTTTGCCGAGGGGCGGTGGACTACCGATCGACACGGACAAGTATAAAAAGGGCTTAAAAGTGATAAGTTCTAAAAACTTATGCGAATAACAAATTATGTGTTCCTTGGAAGAGTGACTTCTCACGAAAGAAAGTGGGATAGAATAGGTTCATCAAATATTGTACTGAAAATATACTCATGATTTTAATGAACAATGGGTTATCATAGATATGGTAGCTCTATTCCAGGCTATACAAGGCTATTGCACGAATTGCTGAAGAGGACTACCTAGAAGTGGAAGTGGCACAACAACTTCGCGAATACTGCGAGTATGTTTAAAATTTCTTGTCTCTTATCCTCATTAAAATTGAGTTCAGCGTTATAAATATGTAAGTAGAACAATGGTCACTGAATATAACATAGGTATTGATTAGTAGCATGGTTGTTCGGAAATACCGCGGGGGTTAATGCTTCAACCAAAATAGTTAAATATTATCCATTGCTTTATTATATCATTATATTGCATGGTGCTGCTTTGTGTTAATTGAATAGATCAATGATTCTGACATCCCAACGGTTTATCGCCTCATCGTGGCTGGGAGGTGTTCCTGGGTGACGGACTGCGATGTAGAGCGAGGTGATTCTTTCTGCGACCCTCTGCGCAGGGTCTCCCAAGTTGAAGAGTCCGGCGTTTCCATCAAGAAGCCTAGCGAAGAGTAAACCAATACCAGAATCCATCAGCGTCCTGGTGTCAAAGTCGCATGGTGGCAAATCTCGCTCTGATCCACAAGGGCTGCGACTACCTGTGATGGTGAAGACGATTCCAGAAAACCACAATGGCTTAACCTGCAAAAGTACGAAAAATGGAGATTATGTTGGGGCCCGCATAACCAGTGAGGACGAGCAATTCAAGTGTCAATGAATCTGAATTTGTATAAGTAGGTATTGATAAGTCGTAGAAAATTATCGACTTGGGCATGAAAATAAGACCTTTCTTTTTCGTACGTGAGCTGTTGTCATGGTATAGTGAAATTCCATCGGTGATAGTTTTGCCATGTGGATCCTTTTGGTTCGTTTGTGTTATGTCAGATCTAGAATTTAGGTAATTAGAAAAAGCTCTCGGCATTGATTTCCTGAAGCATGCGCCATGCTTGGTTTTCGGCTTCATCAAGCATCGTTTGGAGGTGATTGGTTACATATCTGGCCTTTAAACTGACTCACGTGGCCTACCCATCCATCGAACTAGTGCTGTTATGCTACTAGACAAGTCTGATACCAATTTGCCGACCCGGAAAGGACGGAAGGCTTGGCGGGCCAGGGTCGCGGAAACTGATCCCATGTGTGTTGCAGTGCGCCTCCGATCGCTGCGCCGCACGTACCCTTGGGTAATTAAATTGTTTATATCCATTAACCGCTAGCCGCAATATTAACGCAGTAATCACGCAGTAAACTACAGAGATGTATAATGCAGACTAAATTACGTAGTAAGATGGTTTACTAGACAAAAGTGGTATGCCTAACCAGTTGCTTCAAAAATAACGTAGAGGTCTATGGAGTGTGAAATATACATGCAAATACGGTTTGTGTGGAGGGATAGCTCGGCATTCAAAGTCTGTTTCATTAGAGAAAGGAGGAACATTATGTAAACGGTACAATCAGTAATCATGCGAATGGCGTCAAGCTACTTATGCCTCAATAGGATGGAGAAGGTCGTAATGTCGAGTCATCCGGTAGTCCTGTAACACTTTAACGTGTGGTTATGGATCGATGTAGCGCGTGTAGCGCAGTGGTCGGAGACGTCCTGCAATACATGTTGAATCGATTCCCGTGCCCATGGCCCACCAAGCCTTCCACCCACAAACCTTTGAGGTCAGCAAATTGGTAGACTTGTCTGGGAGGATAACAGTACTGACTCGTTACACCGGTAGGCCACCGCGAGTAAAGGCCACATATTCCTTCAATCATCTATAACGGTCCTTAGTGAAGTCGAATGCACAGCACAACTCTCAGGAATTGATCAACGCCGAGAACTTTTCTCATCGATCGGTATGGATGCACGGCACGTACGCTAGTCATTGGCCAAGTGATTTGAAATATAATGGATTAAATGACAGAAGTAAATACTACTAAGAGGAAGACATACTCAATACAAAAACATCTGGTAAGATGAAACATGGAGAACATTTCACGGAGAATGTTTTCTCTAATTAGTATATACTCCAAAAAAATAGAAGCGAAATAGACATGCTGGTGGAACTGATCCATAGAAAGTAGCTGAAAGACAGGTAAAACGAAGGAACCACTTGGTGTGGTGGTAAACGCGTTACTCGCCTGAAAGGGTAATATCGCGTTCGTTCCCTATCGCAGACACCTGCGGTCCGGAGTTGTGCAAATAACTCAGCATCATTGTGGTTGTATCAAACATAATACCCTGCCATGAAAAACTGTAGTGAAAAGTGAATAATAAAAAAAACTAGAATAGACATGATTACATTGCGAATCCAGAAGGTTAGATAAAGAAAAAAAATGAATAGGTAAGTGTAGTAGGTATGATCGTAATAAATGGAGTGAAGATTTTCAGTTGAAATGATTTCCAACTTTGTATTTTTCCAATCGGCTGTGAACAAGATCTTAGTTTCAGTGTTTTCAATTCCTTTTTTTTTTTGTTCTCTTTCTCTACCTGGAAAATTTAAGGTCGTCGTGTTCGGAATCCCTGCAGTTGCTGGACTTTTGCTATCGCGAAGATAACAGCCAAACGTTGAAGTTGCTAACAGCTCAGTTACCTCATTGGGGTTATCAGAATTGTTTATCGCTAGCTGTAATGGTGAATCATAAGCGGTTTTTGGCTCATCCATGGTGAGCCAAAGTCTATGATAAAGCAAAATCCATTCAAAAAGATCTTATTTGCTGAAATTAAATTCTACAATAAATGAAGCAAGTCAGCAGAGGTTGACAGTGTTGCCTTTCAGTTGTCAACGTCTTCTTGCCGAACTCTGGCACGGGTCGCTACGGGTGCGTAGGTGAGCTGAAGAAGAATTTTATCGATATCACTTATCTATTTCAAAAGCGCTTGCCTATAACCTCTTTTATTAGAATTCCATTCTGAGGTTGTTGTTCAACCGTTTCTTTACGGAACAGTAACGCAAAAGACGTCAGGAGGGTCAACTGCATAAATTCTGCTGTACTCATATTGCTTTCACATTTTGGGTACTTTCATGCCCATAAACGCAATTATTCAACAACATCTGCTTATTCCTAGTCACTTTACTTAGAGATAATAGGGATTTGCTATGCTCGTGGAAAGGCCCGGATAGAGTGATCTAAAGTCAGATATTGCCATCTTAATTGTAGAGAATCAGTCACTAGGAACCAAATCCTATATGTCCGCTAAGAGACAATTTACAGAAGATGCAAGGATAGATTTAAGATAATTACAAGTAAACAGTTAATATAGGAAACATACGCTAATATAGAAAATAAGAACTATTTGAGGAATATATAACTATTGTAATGCTGAGATATTTGCAAAACTCCGGACCTCAGGTGTCTGCGCTGGGGAACGAACGCGCCATTGTCCTTTCCGGGGAGTAACGCGTTCACCACCACACCATGCGGGTCCTTTGTTCTGCCTGTCTCTCAGCTAGCTCTATCGATCTTTTACCATCAGCAATCACCCGTCAGCGGGATTGATCTGGGGAGCCCAAATCGGCATTGAACCCAGTTAAGCTGAGGCTATAGTTATAATCACAATCTTAACTTTTTTACTTACTGCCTATTCTTTTTAACGGCAGGGTATTTTGCGGAATATAACTATTGTAATGCTGAGATATTTGCGAATAGCTGAGAGACAGGCGAAACGAAGTACCTGCATGGTGTGGTGGAGAACTCGTTACTCTCCGGAAAGGACAATTGCGCGTTCGTTCTCTACCGCAGGCACCTGCGGTCCGGAATTTTGCAAATATCTCAGCATTACAATAGTTATATTTTGCAAAATGCCCTGCCGTTAAAAAGAATAGGCAGTAAATAAAAAGGTTAATATTTGAGGAATAGTTAGTACAATACATCGGTACAGTGCAAGTCGTTATAAAGGTCAGATATCAATTTAGTCACCTCCAACGCCTGATGAAGTCGAATACATGGCGCACCCCTCTGGGATTGATCAACACCGAGAACCTTATCCCTTTTTATCTTATTTTCTCTGGTCTTATTTTGTGGTTCTCAACCGGAATTCTCCAGTCCTGGCGAACTTTTTTGCAGCGGGTCAAATCTTCGGGTGCTAGCAGCGTTGCTCTGTCCTCTAGCCGCATTGGCTCTCGCCTATAAGACGGCTCGAGTTTCGTCTGAAATCCCAACGAACATCGATGACGAGGTTGAAGTTCGTTTTTTCGAAATATAGATGATGCTCACATGTGTAGGAAATTAACATAGTACTTTTTAAGAGCACAACATACGATACAGTTGGCAAGTGCCGATCAGATCACTTAGAAGAGAACAGTGTTAACAATATACTCTCACTTCCTTTACAGAAGGTTTGTTAGCATTTTTGGAAATAATGCCAACAATAGGAAGTGTAGATGAAACATGGGAGAAAAGTCGAAAAAGTTCAAATGTAATATACTAAATTTTCTGTAATATGTTTGTTCTCCCAACGGCTTACCGCCTCATCGTGGCTGGAAGGAGTTTCTGGGTGTCGGACTGCGATGTACAGCAGGGGATTCGTTCTCCGGCAAGGTCTCCCAAGCTGAGAAGGAGTCCAGCGTTGCCATCGGAAAGCCCAGCTAAGAGTAAACCAATAACAGGATCTACCATCGTCTTGGTATGAAAGCCGCATGGTGGTAAATCTCGCCCTGATTCACAAGGGCTGCGACTGCCTCTCGTGGTGACGACCTGGGGCAGATTTTGGCCAGGCTGTCTTCGGCGTTGCAGGAAATCACAGTGGCTTAACCAGTAAATCTCCGAAAATGGTGATTATGCTGAGGCCCACACAATTAGTGATGACGAGCCGTTTAAATATCAAGTATCAAGTAAGTGTTCGTTCTACCTACACGCACTGGTTGAGCTTTTGTTGGTGAAAGGTACGGAACAGTTAACCGCGTGACCCAAAGATTAATCGCTGGTGAAACTGAGAAATCTACCACCCTACTGAATGCTTCCAACTTTTGACTTTGATTTCGTTTTTTAAAATAAAAACATCTAAGTATCCTTCAAAGAACGGAGGTTATCGTTTATTTCGAGAGGTCTTCTGGAAGAAGTTTTTTTTCATTGACGTCAAAATTTTCTTAAAAAAAGTTAAAGTATTCATTAGAGTAACGGTTTCGGGCTAGTTTAGACACTGCAGTTAAACAGTAGTTTATAGTTTATCAAAAGCACATCAAGGAAAAAGACAATAAAGACAAAGTTGATGTGCGATGAAGAGCTTGACGAGCTGGTTGACAATTGTGACGGATTTTCGAAGAAGGTTAACATCGTCTCGCCGAAACGAAGCAGTCTGCTCAAAGACTGCGCTGATTCACCATATCTGCAGGCAGGTCTACTGAACTATCTTCCTCATTTTCCGTAGTGATTAAGAATGAACTAAGTCTTTAACTTCTATAAACTTTCACTGTCATTGACAGCCATTTAAAAGTTACTAAATCATTGGTTTTGCTTCCATACATCTTCAACTATCCGGAGTTCTGCTACGGTTAACTGACTGATACAATCTTTTTGAAAGCACTAACGCTTTGAAAAATATCTGCAGTTCGATAATTAGAGAGGCAGGATGAGGATTTGGTGGTTTTTCTGAAAGGTTTTAAATGTTCTTGTAGACACCGTCGTTGTCAGCTGTGACAAAGATGCGTGCCTTCTACTCCGCTCCTATTACCAAATTCTGGCTATGGTGTATCACCTTCATCATCTTTCTGACGCTCTTCTCATATGTTCTGCTTATCGAGACACCCATCAATCCAACCACTATCGAATACATTACACTGTCTTATGTTGTTGTCTACATGGTCGAGCATATTCGTAAGGTTCGGTGCATATTTCCATTGATAAAACTGTCACTGTCAAGTGTCTGAAATTAAGTATTTTTCCACTAATCTATTATAATGTTGACGATACATAAGTGTTCACAATCCACAGTGAATAATGTCCATAACGTCGTCGTCGTCAGTTTATATCAACCGCCTTCTATTTTGTAATGACAGCGTATTATGTGAAACATAACCATAACCTTGCTGAGATATTTGCAAAACTCCTAACCACATGTGTCTGCGATGGGAACCGAACGCGCTATTTCCCTTTCCGGGGGCTAACGTGTTTACCACCATACCATGCGACTCCTTCGTTTTCCCTTTCTCTCAGCCATGTTATTGACCAATAGGCGCTATAAGCAATCACCTGTCAACGAGATTGATCTGGAGAGCACAGATCGGCATGAACCCAGTTAAGGTGAAGCTATGCTTTAAATCCCTCAATTTTTATCTACTGCCATATATTTTTTAATGTCAGGGCATTATGCGAAATATAACCATAATACAACCACAACGTTGCTGAGATATTTGCAAAACTCTGGACCGGAGGTGTCTATGGTGGGGAACGAACGCGCTATTGTCCTTTCCGGGGAGTAACGCGTTCACCACCACACCATGC